TAGATATTACTAAATTCTAAACACTGTACCTTGAAAGGTCCCATACTTTACAAGGTTTTATTTGACCTTTTCATATCCACATCCACAAATCATCTCAGTGTAATTTTACATATGTTCTGCTCCTCATATATTTATCAGGTGTTCTATTTAACTATGTGATAGTACCACCTTGTGGTAGTTCATGTACATTCAGGTTACTTGATGGCTTCCTGCATCACTGGGCTCTAGGTATATATCCCCATGGAAGTAGTTTTTGTTAGTCATTGTTCATTTTTAATTGTGTTAATTACAGACATCAGCTCTACGAATAAGCTGTGCTTTGTTCTTCTTGCAGGCTAACATATAACCTGTAAGTATTGTTGTGAGACAAATTGTGTCCATATATATATAACCAGTGGGTTATCTTGTCATATGTTTATGTCGGGAATATGTTTACAGCAACAGTATTGCCGAGCAGCTACACTAAGCCAACTTTGTATCTCTGTGTCTTTTGAGATACGGGCCACAGCGTGTTGTTTATTATTTAACTAGCTTTGCGAGCTGGATTGTAATTTGCTGTGTTTATATTGTGTTTACAGTTTCACCAAACTTTGTGAAAGTTGACATCCTTGCCGTAGAATTTTTTGAGAGCGTTAAGCTGGTTGGATAGCTTGTGTCATCAGCTGGCAAGACCATCACAACATCTCCTCTTTCATGTTTCTGTCTGGAGCTCTAGCATGAAAAGAAGGAATATTTTCTAAGTGATGTATGGCCAGGTAGGCCAACCACAAGTAAGAGATTGTAGTGATTGTAATGAATGAACATTTTTAACAAATTTGAATGAAATTACCTCACGGTGGTCAAGATTTTTCATGTTCTCAAAAATGGGACGGACAACCAATTAATTTAACAACAATTAAATTACTTCCTGCCTGTCTTCCGCTGCTGTGATCGCCTGCCCCGCCCTGATGTGTTGCACCTGTGTCACATTAGCTTCTCCCCTCACTCTTCCTCACTTCATCTGTGTATATGTCCCAGAGAGTCCAACCTGTGAACAGGATCCAGCTCTGCCTATCAGCCTGTTTATGTTCATCCTTGAAGCATCTTCTCTGAACCTGCCTACGTTTGTGTTTGCATTTGTGTCCCTGTCTGTCCCATGGTAGGTACAGTCTTCATCGTGTTCCATTTTCTGTCTTTTCAGTTCCTGGTTTCTATTCAATTTAAATTTAGTTCCCTTGCCTTTGATTCCACACAATTGAAACCCTTTAAATAGTCAGCTCATTGCATTTTCTAGTGCCAGATTGTTTTGTTACCCAAGTGTACATGAATTGCAATGTTTTGTTGCTTTTCTGTGTATAACCCTTGCTAGTGTTTTTGATTGTTTGTCTCCCTCGTGCATGTGTGTGATTGCCTTTCTTGGAGTGCTTATCTGTGAATGATATACTATTGATCTTAGACTAAAGACAAACCTTATATCTTTTATCTCAACCTTTGCTCTCCAGTGTGTTTTCTGCATCTGAGTAATCTGCCAGTGTCACAAACACAAAATAAATCCATAAAAGAAACAGGAATATATTCACAGAGCTGGAATTCTAGCTTCTAGCTTCTTTGAGCAGTAGAGTGATGGAATTGTGTCCCTATTATTAGTGAGTAGCAGAGCATTCTGCCATTATAATATAGTTTCAAAGACATGGTTTTCCCCAGTATAAACAGATTCACCTCCCAGAGACACCTCTTCTTGTGGAAGAGTGGAATCACTTAAAATTTTACATTTGTTCCGAACATTAAACCACGGTTTACAGTACAGCATGATAATTGGACAGATGCACCACATTTCAGTGTAGCCTTGACTTCAATGTGTTGTTTTTATGGTGAAATTCTTTGACTGAGATAAATTTCAAGATAATGTTTTCAACCTGGTCTCTGTTGCCATGTGGATTATATTTGTATCAACTCAAAATGAACTACTAACAATATTATAGTTTATATACTGAAGCATTAAGCAGTTTGATTTGTCTATGCTATAAAAATAAACTTGACCGGCCACCTCAACAAGGTGAATGTGATGTTCAAATGAAAACATGTCATCGCAAAGTGTGTTTTTACTGAGTTGGAGAGAAAACGATGCTTCCATCTTCATTGTTGCACTGTTTGTGGCACTGCTGTAATCCACGTCTCCACTTACCCACAGTGGCTTGAAAAGCCAATCTGAGAAATGTTACGAAGCAATCAGGGCCTCCCATGGTGTGAATAAGAGGAGAGTGGAGGAATTATGACAGCAGGGAGAGGATCAGAAAAAGCTACCTCTTCCAAATGGGATGAAAGTTTGAACTAAGAAAGCAAACTATTGATCTGACCTCTGCTACCCGATGCCAGGCATAACCCACTGACTGCTGCAGCCTTAATTTAACTGCTATTTATTCATGACAAAAATCTCCCTGAATGATTGACAGAGAATAATTGCTGCCAAAGAAATTCACTTGGTTTTACAAGCTGATATTAGCATAGAAAGAGACTGGCAATCGATTAACAATGCAGCCCTTAGAATCAATAATGTCTACACTCCAATCTGTGGTGCTTGATTTGGCCAGTGAAGGAGTGGTTACACTTCTTCAGGTCATTGACAAACTATAATTCTTTCCTCTCTGCTGCCTTAAGAATTACACAGGCTGTATTAAAGTGATTTTTCATTTAAGGGTCCCAAGGCTGAAAGGAAACAAAAAGGCTGAGGACAGTGTTTGCAGTCCTGGGTCTGGCCATGACTCCCTTACACACTTGTCTTACTCTGCCATCCCTAAACTCACATTAAGCATAGTCAGGAGGAGTCAGCCTTTGCCTGGATGAGAGGGCCAACCCACCAGGAAATTACACCAGGAGAAAGTCAATAGTTATCTAAGGAGATGTATGTGTGTGAGAACTTTCAGGACAAAGTAGCAGAGAAGTGTCACCATATACTTTCTATTTATATTCAATATTGATTTATCTTTCTGTTATTACATGAACTATCTAATTGATAAAATGTCAAGAACATTAAATAATCAACATGAACACTCACAAAGGCACAAAGTCAGAGATATGTCCTCTTTCTATGAAGTTCTAGTAAATAATAATGTTCATGGTATCTTATCAATTGTCTTTGAGAAAATCTGGTATATGGAGCATTTCATTAAATTTGCATGTCATAGCTATAGTTCCATTCGCTTGCTTCCTTTTGAAAGACATCCCATTTGTCAGAAAAACAAAGAGTGTTTAATTTCAAAAATGTTACTATAGCAGCGACTTGTTGTGGCTGCCAATGTCTATTTTTACTGCTTACACATCAGAAAACATGTGGACAAAAAAAGACAATGATACTAATGATAATATATTGGTACTTCAGTATCACAGTTAGTATATCATATAAGGGGCATTGGCTCGTGGGATTGGTTTTCATCATTGCAGTCAGTTTCTCCTGGTTAGGATTCCTTCAATTATCCTCAGAGGCCTTCTTCTCTCCAAAACAAAGAGAACAGCTGATTAAATCCAGGAAAACACTGAATAAAACAGCATCATGTTTAAAATCAGTGTTGCTCTGATGCTGTTTGCGGACACAGGACGTTTCAGAGATGCTGCCTCTAACATTTGCTCAGCTTGTTTATCCTATGACTTTACTATGCAACTTTGTACCTTAAATTAAATTTAAGTTTGATGGCACTCTTACTTGGAATATTATTTAAGATACACTCCTCCCCCTTAATGCCTGTTCTTGTTCTATGTAACTTTGGTAAACGGGTACAATCTCCAGTGAGAAGTGTGCAACTGACTGATCTTAAATGATCAGAATCAGGTCCAGTAAGTGCAAGAGTAACGGTGGGCTGCAGATGAGTGAAAAAGACTTGTTTGTGAATTCTTCACAGAGTATGGTGTTATTGTTATACAGGCCACGCTTTTGTGTCAGGAATCCAGAGATCATGAGGAATATCCACTCTTCAGGTGTGTTTAAGTTCAGTGAGGGACCTTCAGTCAAGAGATAAATAGGCTTTGATTTTAATTTACATGAAACCACTTAATCAGTCGGACACAGAGCCCAACATAATTAATGACACCGTGGGGCAGAGAGCGCTGTTGCTCAGTAAATGTTCCATAGCTATAAGATTCAGATGTCTGACAGCTAAGATCCTTCATTTGGTTCAAATATATGGTTAAACACCATTGAGATTGAATGGGTGTATTGTAAAAATTTGACTAACAGTTCTGACACTTCAGGCAGACAAACACACAGACCACTGAATTAAATACAATGACATTTCTCTGCAGGTTTTAAAATGACTGGGAATGTGGGATAATGTAATCACAAAACTCAACAAATTTCACACAAGTCTATTTGTTTTTTAACATTTCAGTGTCTGAAGTTACCTATTGTACCTTTAAACCCAAGTGTTTGTGATAGGAAAAGTCCATCACTCAGACCATACACATATTTTCTATACTTAGTGATTATGTCCTTATAAACACAGCTTGTGCCTTTAGAACATATTTGCATGCTACGATCTCTAAACAGAACCAACCTTGTGAATCCTTGACAAAATGAGTGCAAATGTTTTCACACTTGAACATTATAATCAAATATATTTAATAATTATCTTTCCTCTTCAGAGATGAGAGACACAGTACACATGCTGTAACTGTGCCTTAACAATGACCTGATCTTTGGATATTAATGCTTGTTACATCTGTGTAGGTAGAATTCAAATAAGGGGATCCTAAACACACATGATTATAAAGAGACAACTTAACACCAGATCACATTAACACCACAACAAGCACATGGAATTTGATGGCAAGCAAAAGGATTCACAAATACACATGGGATTATTTTAATAAAGTGCGTATGATAAGAACAAAAAAGGCCAACGACCAATAAGTAAAAGAAAGCCTGCTCCTCTAGGTAATGGATCAAAGACAACACCAAAACAAAGTCCATGCATTATTTTTCTGGGCACAGGGACCCAGCAATAAGGGAAGAGTGGACAGAGGCTCCCCTGAAGTTAAATAAAATTAAAGAAAATAAAACTTGCCATGTAGTTTGCTGTGGTCACACTCGGGTATGCAAGATCAAAACGGGTAACCAGTGCAGGCTGCAGGTGAGAAATGAAAGACAGGATCACTAGCCAGTATACTTGGATTGAGGGAGAGAAAGACAGAGAGAGCGAGAGAGAGAGGGAGAGAAGCAGAAGTTTGCCTAATGCATCAGGATAAAAAAGCATTAGTAATAGTTACCCAGTCACATGTTGGGCAGAAGAAGAGGGGGACATGTTCAATTGGGTTAAGATTGGGTGAAGGTGATGGGTAGAGTATCACTGTGACTTCCTGTTATTGCTGTTAATGATGAAGAGCCTCTCACCCAGCGGGAGATTTTCCCCTCACAGACTGCACATGAGCAAAAATCACAGAGGATCACTGCTGACTACTCAGACTCAAACTGACTTCTAAAAGAAAGCAGTCACCCAGCTTTCTTAACCAGTCTTGAAAGAATGGTTCCATGTGATAATCAACAGCAGAGAAAATATATCTGCCCCTACCTGCTAATTAAGATAAACAATGACCACACTCAAAACGATGTAAGAGTAAGACGGAGATTATCAGGGACATGATTTATTACCTACATTTTACAATGCATGACAATGGCCAGGCATGACTGATGAATCTGCTTGACAGTAGATGGCAGTATAAACACCAGCTTCTGAAACAATGGTAAGATCTTGTCTTATAGTTTATTAAAAACAAAAGCATTATTATCATCATCATCTGACAACAGCAGTGCTGTGTGCAGTCACATGTGGTCATACTAAGTGTCTGCTGTTACACAGGAGGTCACAGGTCCAAAGCTGTCCACTGAATCAAAATCAGAGTAAAGTGTCCAATGAAATGCTTTCTACCATAATTTAACATCATTTAATACTCAGTCCAACTGCAAAGTCTGATAGAAGACAGAGTTTTTAAAGTCTCTTACACCAGAGAAAGTTTTTAGATAATAATGACATGCCCACATTCTGGCCTACACGTTTTTAAAACATCACTATATTTGATATTAAATATTTTGTAAATCTACCCAGGCTCAAAACATTCAATCTACATAAGCTATTAAATCTGAACAGAAATCTCTAATCAAACACTACTCAGTGTTCTGCCCGTGTTTCTGGGTTTCAATCTGCAGACACAAGAAACTTCTGTTCTATTACAATGTCGCCCTCTGTTGGCTCAAACCTGAGCAGAAACACAATTGACTTCACTGTCACTTCATGAAACCAGACAATGCACAGGGAAAATGTGTGCAAGGAATGACACAGGCAGACACAAGGAGGGATGTGACAGAAGCATTTTATAGTTTTCTCTTCTAGTTACACAGATAAACCACAAACTAACAGCAAGATTACTTAAACCATTTAGTGCTCCCATGGGTCAGGAAAACAACAGGGAAAGAAGAGATCTGTTAATGTAGGTCAAGCAAAATCACTGCACTGTATATATATAATCTATTTGAATGATGTGTAATCCTTGTTCTCCTTATTATGCAATCATTGTCACGTTACAAACAATGCATGTTGTTGTTTTACAGTTTGCTTTTTTTGTGGTCAACAAAAAACATACTTAACTAAACTAATATGAGGGAGAGACCATGTTGGCAGAAGTTCATGGTGCTGGATTGGAGAGGTCATGGTTTTATAACAGGATTAAGGTTGTACCTTGAGAGGAGAGATGTGGGAGTGGGAAACGTAGCCGTGCACATTTTCGATCTCAGACAAGTTCTTCTCGGACACGTGCACAAGCTCAGGGGAGCGCACCTCGTTGGTAAGTCGTGGGAATCCCTGGTCAAGAGGGGGCGAGTCGTCGTCTTGGTAGTGGTACTGCTAAAAGCAGGAAGGGAGGGAGGGAGAGAGAGTGAGAGAGAGAGAGAGAAGGCCAACATGAGATGGAAAGAAAACCATGGACAAGTGAAAACATGCTTCATGTCACTGTTCTCGTGATAGGACATCATGCTAACAAATTCATAATCACGTCATTATTAATGTTTTATTTTCTTGGTTCAGTTGTTGTTTAGTGCTGAAAAATTCCACTTTTAAAAACAATAATGTTAATTAAATTTGACAATCAAAGATGCCAGCTTAAAAACCAGAGAACCACCAAGTTCAAAACATACCTTTAAGGTTTTAATTCAGACTGAATCTGTTGTTATTCAATCATTTATGAAACAAGTACTAATTATACACAGTCAGTGACTCTAACAAGAAATATTGTATTAACATTTAGCAGATCTACATTCTTCCATGTTGTGGGTATTTTTTCATAAATGAACATGTCTTACTTTTCCAAATTATTAGAATCATTGATAAAATAATAAGCTTAAATCACTGCTACTACAAAATTTATCCTGAGTTATCAAACAACCCCAGCGTAGACATGAATAATGAAGAGTAATACAGTTGAGATGGTCATGAGAGTCAACAAGTGTGAGATGGCCTAATGAACATAGGGTGATAATAGATCATTTTCCATTACAGTGCACCAAGATAATGAAATCTCCTTTTATCTTTGAACAAATCACATGTGATGTCATTAAAGACTAACACAAATACACATGTCCTTGTGTGGTTGATTGCCAGGATGGTATTGAATGCAATTTGGATGGGGTGAAAAAAAACAACAACAAAAACTTCCCCCTTCTCACCCAGGGAGCGTTCATCAAGGCAGGGTTCATGCAGGGTGGGGTCTGGCCGTTGTGGGGTGACCCCTGTACTGCTGGTGGCCTGTTCTGGAAAGAGCAACAGGACCATATGTGACAACCGACAGCAAACAGAGCAGGCGTGACAGAAGAAACGTCCAGAAACAATTCAGGATCTCAAGCATTCAACCAGCACAACCATACAGAAGCACCCCCAGGAGGCTGAACAGGGCCTATGATATTCTGCACCATCAGATGTCAGTACATGCAGGACACGTGTTTCAGGTGAATACAAATGGAAACACAGAGTTACTGATAGATGAACAGAGACAGGGTACATTATCCCATCACCCCATTACATAGTTATATGCTTCAGCTAAATTACATTGTTGGCAGTAGATCTGTTATGTCATAGGCATTGTTATGAACTGAAAACTACACCCATGAATGTTTTATAAATAGCTGGTCGTGCGTTAAAAGCCCTTGATATGAGGAAGATAACTGATCAAACACTCTTTGTGTGAGTCTGACAGCAGATCTACTTCACACTATTTGGCATGTGCACATTTTGTATGAGCAAGAGAGAGAGACAGAGCATGGATACTTGGCATTGTTGACAGGTAGTGGTAACTCGAGAGGTAATTCACTGACTTGAAAGCTGTGGATACGAGTGCAACCGGTGTGGTAGAAGCTACAGGAGGTGGAGGCTGCAGCAGCAGAGTCAGGACGTGAGAACAAGCTCAGGGTTGTGAATAAGAGGAATCTTCAGCTGCCAATCTGGTTGTCAAAAGTTTTCGTCACAATGCTCACCATTTATGAAAGTGTTGTGATTCAAGTTATGTAAATCCACTGTTTTCAATGCAAAAAAGCAATAATACAATAAATGCTGATTTATGTACGTTGCCTACACACACACATACACACGCACACACACACAGACACACACAGACACACAAACACTTTTCTCTCTCTCTCTCTGACTGGCAGACCCACACACACAGACACACACGTCGACTCAGCTGATGTCTTTGATCCACTACAGTTCATAAATTCATTGGTCCGAAATGACCACCACAATATCACATAATGATCGATACCTTTCTAATTAAGTAAAAACTTTCTTCATAGCTACGCACATTCATTCATTTATTTAGCTTGTCTCCCGCGCCGACTCACACAAACACCAATACACGCACTCATGTACACACAGTGCCTTGTATGAATGTATGAAAAGACCCAAAATGATCACTGTAAGCAGACCACTTGATTACTATTAATAAATTATTTAAACATCATTTGTATATGAACGGTTTGGTCCCAAGCTTTGTGATCCATATAAATGTGGGACCCATAGTGATTGGAGCAGCAAGAACAGCTACACCCCCCCATACTACTACTCTGATTGCCAGACGTTATTTCTGCAGTTATATATTGTTTGTATTTGTTATTGCCTGATTGACACTAGATTGAATATAAACACTGTTTGCATATTATTATAGGCATTAACATGGTCAGAAAGGGTGATATATGGACAGGCACCTTATGACACCCCTGGGGTCCTTGGGGCGTGGTCGGGCTATTGACTAGAAGACTGTCCCACAGTTAGCTCACATGTAGCAACAGGCTGATGTTCATGAAAACGTTTCTGTGTTGCAGAATAAAACCTGAACCCCCTGTGATAACTCATGCATGCCTGGAAGTGTATTTTGTCTCTGAGTGTGCAACATAAACAGTTGATCACTAAATCTGTGATCACTATATCGGGTTTCCACTGTAATGTCTTACATTAAAAATATGTACTATACTAATTTTGTTGGGAGGTGGAGGCAGCATGAAATTTGATGGAGGTGACCGCTTCGCAATTCTATAAGCAGAAAAAAACCCTGAATTCATATTGGTTGGTGTGTTCAAATAATTGGCTACATTTATGTGTAAAATAAACTGATCAACTAGATGTGATTATCATTTAATCATTACATGATAGCTTGCATCTCTTCTATGAGCATGAGCACAGAAAGATTAAAGACTCTAAGAGAGAGAGTCACTGGCAAGTTGAAGAGAAGAGAGTATGAGACAGACACAGAGTCAACACAGTCAGTCACAGTTCAAAAGGTTAATCACACTAAACAGACAGAAACTGATACCAGTTGTCGAAAATGAACAATGCATAGTAAATACAATCTGAAATAGAACTGCTTCAGCAGTGCTAAGGTTCATGTCTTATCTCAGGGTTTTACTCTGAAAATAAATTAAAATAAAAGTTGAATGAGAACTCATACTGCGCTAACCTTGTTTATTTTGATGTCACGTCGATAAAAAGCCAGACTGGAACCTTTTTGTAAAGCACAATGTCTCCATTGTAATATTCAGTTGACTCTGAAAATCCCAACATTTCCTGTGTTTCAAAATCCTCTAAAGCGAACTGAAGCATGAATTAATGCAACAGTTATGACAGTGGCACTCAACAACCGTGTGAGTTTAAAACGTGAATTTTGAGATGAAACCTGTTGCCAAGCCGACATTTGACCAAACAAACGAGGAAGAGCAAGTCTGTACACACTGAGAGAAACTGAACAGAAATCAGTGGACACATCAGACTCAGAGAACAAGGTATTTAATGAATGGAAGTGATCTTCAAGCACAGAGTGTTACTTGCTGCATCTCTGAGATGTAAAACAACTACAACGCCCCAGTGATGACAGCTATTTTCAAAGATGCCAAAAGGCAGCGATGTAAGGAGATGCATTCTAATGTTAGGAGAAGCAGGTCTGGGCCAGTGGCATATTAGTTACCAGGGCCACTAAATATAGAGGTTCATTCTGTACACCTATGCATGGAAGATCTGCTAAGATCTGTGGTTTTACTTGGCGATTCATGTTGCTACCTGATCAATTATACTTGTTGTATGCTTGTGAGGGCTCTCATCATCTCCACCATGGAGGTTATGTCTGTTTTCATGTGTGTTTGTCTGTTAGATTGCAGCATTACACAACAAATACTGGACAGATTACCACAAAACCTAACTGGAGGATGGGTCAAGGAAGAACCCATTAGATTTTGGTGTGGATGGGGGGCAGACTTCAACATTGAGACATATTTTTTTTTGTTTCTCAGAGAATAATTTATGGAACTTGATGATATAAATCAGGGGACTGATATCAATATGAATGTATGCAACGTGGTCCAGAATCAAATATAAAAATTTGAAATTAAATTTGGTTTCTGTTGGGCCTTGGTGGAGGTACGCCCTCTACTGCGTGCCATTCTATTCACCTCAGCCAAGGAGGTCATGTTTTAGTGCATGTTTGTTAGTTAACAGGATTACAGAAAAACTACTGGAAGGATTATTACAAAACTTGGAGAAAGGATGCGGTACGGGTCAGTGTATACCACATTAACTGCTGGATACAGAATCTTTCCTGTGTCCCACACAATTAATTTTAATTTAGGTTGCAGTAGAGGTGCATGTACAAATTTATGAAATCTGGTGGAGGAATGCGGCCTGACCCGAGAAGGTACCTATTACATTTTTGCAGTGGATCAGGATATACTTATGTTTTTTATAACTTTCTTTAACATGATGAGATAGGGCGTTAGCAACGGCGGAGGTTTACACTCTCCGAGCATCCTTCTCGTTGACATAATGTATATCCTGGCCTCTTACCATAACCTTAACCATAACAACCTAATGTCAAATCATTACCCCAAACCCAACTCTAACCTGAACGTTAACAAGCCTTTAACCCTTTAACCCTTTGAAGGTGTGTCAGAAAGTGAGAAGCATCCAAAATGTACTCATTTCATAAAGACTAGAAGTCAAACCCGTCCTCTCAAGGAAGTATGTTTGTATACACAGACACACACAGTACGTCATGCATTCACTTGTTCTCAGCCATACTCTCAAGAGACGAGGACATGAGGAGGCCAGAAGCAGTGACTTTCTGCTTTAGAGCTGTAAAGGCAGTTCCCGAACACAGATGTTGTTTACACTGGGTGGTACTATAAGGGGATGGAGGCAGGTGTCTGCAGCTTCCACTGCTGTTTGGCAAATTGAATGTGAGGGAAGAGGATCTAAACATAGAAACTACAAGCACACTCTGTCTGATATTACAGTGTAACCGGCTTATATGGTCAGCAGTTCAAGGAGTATGATTCATTTTGTAATCCTGAGTGTCAGTTGTGAGAACTAGCATCCCTTAGTACAGCATGATTTAAGTAGCATATATGCACTTTTCTATCACACATCTTTCCCTTAAAGACAAACTACATGAAATTTACATGTGCAAAGACACATGCGCTCACATGTGAGAATCATGTGAAAGTCAAATTCATGTGTAATTCATGTTTTTTTCTGAAAGGGTTCTGAGAGAGGCTAGTGAACAACCTGCTCTACCTCCTGAGCCACAGCCACCTACTTTTCCGCAGTTATACAAGTAACCTGAGAGCAATCAAAGGAAATAGAAGACATTCAATTAGCTATTTGCAGTTTCACTTTGTCTACCATATGGACTTAGATTTGCTCAGACGGCTTAATCCTTGAGACAAGCAATTGTATTTTATTACTTTTTTATAGCTCTTCTATTAGCCTAGCTGCAAAACGTTTCAACAAGAAAAGACTAACACTAAGCTAGAAGCTGTAAGAATATGTCAATAACCTCAACAATTTTCTGGGATCATGGGAAGAATTTTTTTTTCAATTTTCGGAATCAGCAAGTAAACTAAAGTAAGTAATTTAGACTAGCAGCCTTCACTGCTACAATATACGATGACAACAATTAATTAAACTATACAGTAGGTGAAATTCCTTAAGATTGGTGATTTAACATTTTACATTCCTGCCAACAACCTGTGCCATTTATTCCATGAACTGCAGGTCTACTACAGCCAGGTTAGACAGCTAGATGTAACTGTGACTGATGATGCAGGAGATCATCAATGGGTCTAATGAGTGCTCCTCTCATCTGACATACCATACTCCACAAGCAGTCTCAACCATTATTTAAGTTATCCCAATGGCAGTATTGCAAGGAAGAGTAGATCGGATACAGCACTTAAGTTAGAGGGCCAAAGACAATCAGGGCACAAGAGGT